CAAAAGACTTTAAATTTGTGACTGTGAATACATTATCCCCCACATCATCAAAGGTAAAAGATGTATATTGTAAAAACTCCATCAAGTTAAGGTCCTTCATTTATTGCACAGTATTTTTAACCAATTTTTAGGTCTTTCTAATAAATGCAGCTGATCCATTGTCTGGCTTGAAACTTGTTTGGGAGTGTGATGCTATAGTTCACTGCGTAATTGAACATCACCAAGGTTATCTTTATTTATTTACAAATGCTCCCAAAGGTGGGCAATCGGTTGATTATCATTATCTTCTTTGTAGTCCCGAGGACACTCATTCGAATCCAAGAAAGTGGGAGGTAGTCTGGAACATCACTTTTTTCTGTTATCTTGTTTCATTTTTACTGCTTCTTTGCATTAAATGTAAATGATATGTTTACTTGTGACAGTGAGATATATATTATTACAATCACTTGTTTGTGTTTTTTCAGTTTACTTGGCAGTCACTGTTAGCTTTACCTTACATGCTATATTATTCCTCATAAACTGCAGGAGGTAATTGTCGACGATCCAAATTTGGTTATTGAGGATGTTGATTTTAGTGATAAATACTTGGCACTCATTGTAAGAGAAAATCAAAATTTTCAACTTTGTTCAGTTGGACTGCCATTGCCCTTTGGGAATGTACTGAAAGAGAATTTGGTATAGCATGCTCTTACAGACAAGTTCATGATGTAATTGTGGTTTTCACTAAATTGAAATATTGGTTATTCAGCCTTATTCTTGTGACAGGGGGCAATTAAATTGAGGAAGCTTGACATGCAATTTTTGTCTCTTCCAAAACACGTTTGTCAAATTTCACCTGGACCAAACTATGACTTCTTTTCATCAGTCATGCGCTTTATAATATCATCTCCTGTGGTATGTTTTTTAATTGATTCTTATTAGTTACTCTTCTTTTGAGAAGATGAAAAGGAAGCAATGTTTTTATAGAATAACTGTTTTGGTTTAGCTCAAGAATAATGTTGCAGGATGAATTTCAAAATAGAACATCGGCAAACATTTAGATTCAGAGACAATTTTCTTTATCCTCAGTTGTGGATTAGTTCGAGTCTCCAAAAAATAACTACATTATGAGTTTTGCCCATATGCCCGACATGTTTGTTTTCAGTTTTCTAAGTTTCACCTGCCTGTTACTTTCGTCCTCTTTAGGTGTTTCTTGCTTTATAACAATTTGTAGTATGCTCATTGTTACATATGTATATGCATATACTTTTTTTTTTTGAAAACTTGGTATCCGGCCATAGACCAACTAATCTCAGGAACCATTCCCACCGTCCACTAGCGGGCGGCCCATTTAAAGTCAGAGCATACCTCTGTATGCATATACATGATTATGAGATGCTTACTATCAAACATTTGTCTTGATAATTCATTTTCTACTCACTCTCAACGTGGACGAAACATCCTATCATCAAATTTCAGTATGTATACCATAATTTTGTTGCAGATGCCTGATGCTGTGGTTGATTATGACCTAGCAACCTGTAGGTGGAACATTATTCAACAGCAAAATATGCTTCATGACAGGACACGAATATTATATGGTACAAATTCTTCAAGTGTAAGTGTTGAACCCTCAGATGCAAAATATTCCAGTCCCGCGCATGCCAATTTGGAAGATGACCACTTATGGAATGACCTGTCTGAGTTTTATGCCTGTGAACGATATGTTGTACCTTCATTTGATGGGGTTCTGATTCCCTTGACTATTGTTTTTGCACGTGAAAATAAGCCAAAAGATGAAAAACCTGGAATATTGCTTGGTCATGGAGCTTATGGTGAGTTACTTGACAAACGGTGGCGCAGTGAATTTAAAAGCCTTCTGGACCGTGGTTGGGTCATAGCCTATGCTGATGTTAGGTAGGCTTTGTAGTATTTGGTGTCCATGTACCCAATACATATTCTTAAGAATATAATTTCTTATTTGTTTCTCAGTAACTGAACTTTCCAAATAAATTTATGTTTTTCATAAGTCTGATTTCTTATCTATGATCGTTTGGGTGTCCTATTTTAGAGGCGGAGGTGGTTATGGCAAGAAATGGCATCATGATGGAAGACGAACAAAGAAACATAATTCAATCAATGACTATATTTCTTGTGCCAAGTTTCTCATAGAAAAAGATTTTGTGAATGAAAAACAATTGGCTGCTTGGGGGTATAGTGCTGGAGGGCTTTTGGTTGCTGCAGCTATTAATCGTTTTCCAGATTTATTTCGTGCTGCAGTCTTAAAGGTTACCTAGACTTTGGGCCTGTTTTTAAGATTGAATTTCTCAGGCTCTGTTTAAATGTGTTCATTCATACTTTCTTCTGTATGTTTTTTTGCTGCAGGTTCCTTTTTTAGATGCAACCAACACTCTTCTGTATCCCATCTTACCACTTGTAGCTGATGATTATGAAGAGTTTGGCTACCCTGGGGACCTCGATGATTTTCTTGCAATTCGAGAGTATTCTCCGTATGACAATGTTCAAAAGGATGTTCTTTATCCATCGGTATTAGTATCCTCGTCTTTCAATACACGGTAAGTTCTTGATGTTTATCGACATGGTTGATTTGTGCAGCAGAAATAATAATGTTATGTGCATTGATGATAAAAAAAAAGGCAACCATGTATGTCTAGTTTTCTTTTAAGGTAAATGGCCATAAAATTTGCGATAGTTATAGTTGTCTATGAGCTTCGCCCTCTTCAAATATGTGATGAGAAGCTTTTGCCATTTTAAGTTTTATTCTATTTGAAAAACAGTATCGAGATTGAATTTTGTCATTTCCTCAGATTAGACACCCTCTGTAAGCCTTTGATTTCATACAATGCAGACTCTTAAGCTTCTTCACATCCTAACAAATACATGTACCAACTAAAAAGAAGAATTAAGGCATTTTTGGCAGTTGTGAAAACAGTGGAAGGGAATAAATCAAAGGAGAATGAAAGGGTAGGTAGCGGAAGACATAGAGGTTAAACTTGAAAATCACATATCCCACTCCTCCCCTCTGTAGCATATCCCCATTCAAAGCTTTCCTATTGCCGTTCAAAGATTGTTATCTGTATCTTAGTTGTCTTTACGTAATTAGGCATAACATGTCTTACTTTACAAGCGTATCTTTATTTTTGACATTTTTGCTTTGTGACTCAGATTTGGGGTGTGGGAAGCAGCAAAATGGGTAGCACGAGTTCGCGATCTTTCAATATATGACCCAAAACGGCCAATATTGCTAAACTTGACCACAGATATAGTGGAGGAAAACCGTTATTTGCAGTCCAAGGAATCAGCATTAGAGGCTGCATTTCTTATTAGGACGATGGAATCCTAAATATGAGAACTGATCATTTGCTCAACCCGAAGGTGGTTAGCACTTGTGCAATGTCTCCCTCCGGCAGTCTGATGTCAAATTTGAGATTGTATTTCTCGATGATCTAAGATCCAATCATATGCTCTGCATGGGAAATGCTTGCTATCCAATATTCTTTTCCCATTGGTTGTGCTTAGCTCTCAAGCTTATCATTTGTAAATGTCACTGCCTTGTGGATTAATAAAGCATAGTGCAAATTTTGTCTTAATGGTGTGTATATGTGTAAGCTTATGTTGGTTTTTGCAGATTATTACAGATTGTATAGTTCTCTCCACCCATATCATGAATGTGTTCAGAAAATCTTACAGCCCAAATTGCAATTGCATCCAAATTATTATCTTATAATAAGACTTCTTTAAATTGTTAAGTTCATTAATTATTTTTTTATACTTTACAAGTATATAAATTATCAATATATTTGTGGATGAAGGTAGTTCAATTTATTATAACTACAAAAGTGGAGATTGAGATACTAAAACCAATAATGGGGAGTGGCCCCTCCTTACTCTTGGAGCAACACAACACAACAAACAAAAGCAACAGTCTGTATTTCTCTCCATCTACTTTCCTTTTACCATTAAAGAAAGTATTTCTCTTTCATCCAATTTCGCCTCACAAATCCTAATACTTGATTCCTTTTCATCACGTCCCACGAGTTGGCGTTTAAGTACATGTCCAACACGCCAATCCAACATTTTGTTTCTTTTCAATGGCAAAGCAGAGCTTAGTGATTTGTCAACTGCTAGATGGAAAAGCAGCATTAAAATATCCCACCCAATAACAGTCCCTTTGTCGAACATAACTTAGTGGTTGAGGTCAAACAATGATTGTTACCCTTTATAACAAAAATATAATCATTCATTTAACTTAGCCTTGCCTTGGTTGAGCTGCCAATTTCGGATCGCACTATTCTACCCTGCCCTTCCTACCCTTGCTGTAGTCTCAACTAGTAGGATAATACTCCTTTTTTTTTTCTCAAAATAATTGACTCCATTATCTAATTCACACTAATTAAAAAATGTCTCAATGAATAATCTAATTGGCTAATTCAAATACATGAATTAAACATTAATTTCTATACTTAGGTTAAAACATATTTATTTCTATATTACTGATAGTAATTTACTCTGTTTACTTGTTTATTTATCAAGTGACAAAAACAGGTCAAATTCTAAGTTTATTTATGAACACAATTTAAGTCGACAAAGAAAGCACCCACGGAATAGTAACATAAACTATAGCATGAAAATGAACACTAACTTTTTACAAAAGTTGCTAAGCCTTTCGTATGCAACAGAGCAAAGTATTAATCAGTAGAAGATATAACTGATTCAATCTTTGCTTCATTACACCATGGCATCCCAATATGTAACAAAAATAAAGAGGAAAATAATAATTTTAAGCAACATGAAACATAAATTAACAAATCCACCCGCTAGTCTTGTTTGTCTGGCTTTGATGCAGAGAAAAGTATATGTTTATCTAGCCGCATACAAATTATCACCAATCCATTGATCTTGCAGCTTTTGGCAACAGCCCATATTCGGCAACATCTCATAAATGACCTTCAATCTTAAGTTTCCAAAATTGAACAAAAGTCACCGGCGACTATGCCATCTTACGTCTCTGAGCCTTCTTGAACAATAGGAAGGCCACATTCTCTGATAAATGCCGGGTTGAGAAACTTTGCTACAAATGCCCAGAATTTATATACATCCTCAAAATTTGTCAGAAATCCAAGTGAGGCAGTGACAACTTCAAGCCTTACAAAGCTACCTTTGCCATCATGCCGACCGTTCTCCATAGGCTTGCAAAGAGTTGTGTCTTCAAGATTCAAAGCTCCACGCTGCCTTGAGCTATCATAAATCTGTATATGACTGAGTATACCAATGCCAAGAGAAATTCCTTCTTTTTCAGCTAGCTTTTGAACAATCTCAGGATTGATTAGCCCCCTACTTTTGTCCCTGAGGTTGAAAGCCACAGCTGCACCTCTTTCATATTTTATTTTTGGACCATAGATGTGAACAAGGTTTACTTTTTCATCTCCATCAGAAACAGATAACTTTAGTTGCAGTAGTGAAGTAACAAGCCAATTAATCAAAAACCGAAGTCTAAGCGTGGTTTTGTTAAGACCAAGCATATCAACATGATCAATATTTCGACATACTATCTCAGGTTCTCTCCTGCCCCAATCCTGTCCATCACCATATTCTCCGTCACTACTTACCTCTTCATCATCCAAGCTAGTTGCAGATATGTCCCCTGTCTCCAAGGTCTCTCTCGGGTGCTCTTTATGATTGTCTTCTAAGCTAAATGACACTCTTCTTCCTCTGCTATTGTGTTCATCATCTTCCAAACCAAACAACCTACCACCACCATATCGATTCCCTTCTCTCCTACCCAACAGCCTAAATTCACCTTCAGTTTCTCTTCTTATAGCGCTCTCTTTAACATCAGAGGCAGAGCCATTTTCCAGGCTTTGATGCCTAGTAAGAGATGCTGAATTAACGAGCCAAGACTCTCTCATAGCAACAGATCCATTTTGAACAGCTTCACTGGTTCCAGGTTCTTCCATTATCTCACTGACATGTGAACGATCTGGCACATTTCCATTTACTGAATAATGATGAACTTCGTCAACTTGCTCTTCTTCAGGGACCTTTTTGACCCGATCTAGTTCTTGTGACATTAAGACGGCAGCATCAAATGACAGCACATGACGTTCGTCATGAGAACCTAGGTTTACGTCTCTGTCATCAAAAATAGGACTGCCATACATATTGGAAGATGGTTTTGGAGAATGCTGCTTCTGGTTCTTCTTCCCACTGAACCAGAATGGTGGAAGGGGAGAAGATATCTTCAGTTTATTTGATTGACCTACCTTGTCTGACCCCATTGGACTCTGACCCAAATCAATCCAAAATGAGTTGTCAGAAGACTCATCCTCACTGAAGACAGGGCTCTTTATCACTTCTCCCACAGATATACTCTCGGTTTCTTCAAATATAGTGCTGGTTCCATCTCTTTCAGAACTGTCGTGATCCATTTCAGTCTCAAATACATCCCTGACTTGTGCAGACGTGTACGCACCAGAGAAGGCAGGCAACTGTGATCCCTGGCGAGGTTCAAAAGTCTTATCACCAACCGCATTGAATTCGTCATCTTCAGTCCCAGCCAATCTGTCCAAACCATCTACAGAGTCACTCAAATAGACTGGAAACTCGGGGGTAATCTTTACCATTCCAGACCCGGTACTGCCTGATTGATTTTGAAGGCTTGCCATCACCGATTTTTTTATCAGTAGACAGCCAAAACCTGTGGGATCATACCCAAATACCCTGTAAAATGATGTAATTATGAAATCTGGCCTGAAAAGTGACAAGCCAAGCGAATCCATGTCTTTGGGGCCCAATGACCCAGCATCGAGCAGGACATGCCAGTTGTTCTGCTGCGCCAAGGCCATCCACTGGTAGGAATATTTAGCTCCAGTTACTCTGGACTGAACTGGGAATACAAAAAGACCAGTAGCTGAATCCTTCTTCCTCTTCTTCTTATTGGAAATCTGTTTTCTCAAATCAGTAGAGCAGAGTTTGAGAGTTGGCCATTTGAACCAAGCACTGTGCACTTTGGCACCCTTACTCCTAGCACACTGAGCCATCCAATTAACAGATTGGCTGTCATGGTCGAACATGGTCAACAGTTTTTTGTTCGTTTGGAAAGGGTACGACTCAGCCAACAATTTAAAAGCAGATCCTCTACTAACAGTAAAAACAAGGCCATATTCATTCTCAGGGATATTCAGATAGTCCATAATCCTAGCCTTTATATCATACTCAACAGTTCCTTTTTCAGCACCACCATAAAGTGCATGGTTACTCAAATTAGCAGTTATCTCAGACAAGCTAAACGTACAAGACTCCCAATAATGAAGGGTCTGAACAAAAGAGAATAGTCCAAATCCACAATAATCAAGGCATACCTTAGGCGGCAAATGAGAATACTCATCGGACCTCAACTGATCAATTTTCTCCGACGACACATACTTAGGATACATAGTGAGAAACTTGGAAAATGCTTCTTGGAGGCTAAGAATATCTTCCTCAGACTCAAACGTCCGCTCAGCCGCAAGAGAAGTAGCGCGAAGAAACTCGCGCTGAGCGTGCAGTCTAGCCAGCGATCTGGATCTCCCAAGGCTCTCATCCTGGTTCCCAACAGTATCAGGTTCCATGTCATGCGATTTGGAGAGTGATCCATCTTCTGAAGCTTCTTCCAGAGCTTCCCTCAGCTTGTTTTCTTGCAGCTTCCGAAGCATTGACGGGTTTCTTTTTATATCAGCCACGGACTCACCTTTCTTCCTTCCCTTCTTGTCCATGATCAAAGAAGCACAATGAGAAATGGGCTTCCACAGTGAAAGATGCATTGTAGCTTCCTCCAAAACTCACACAAACCAATTCAAGATAACAATAACAACAACAAAAAACGAAGCTTTACTGAGACACTTCTTCATACAACACAACTGAAACGATTCAACCCATCAACCTGCAACAAAACTGAACTTAAATTCAAGAATATAATAAATCTAGAATCTTAAAACCTCAACAAGCATATTCATAAAAAGCGAATTTTGAAAGAGAAAATGAGAATCTTAAAACTCACCTCACCGCCATTTTCATATGAATTTCACAAAAATTGAAAAGAAGCTTGAAGAAAATCAAAAGCTGAAACCCTAGAAGCCAGATCCCAAAAGTTGAAGTAATTTTTAATGGATTACGAAACCGCAAACTTGAATTAGTAGAAGAAACTCCCTCTTCTCTTTCTCTCTCTAGTTTCTCTCTCTAGTTCGTTGCAGCATAATTAAAGCAAAGCGTCCCACAACATCAAATTCTCGTTTACTATGAAAGAAATAATAAAGTCTAAAACCAACACACACTATCTTCACTGTACGATTTTCATCTTAGGAATTTAAAATTCAAAAAAAAAAAAAGGAAAAAAGAAAAAGTAGAAAAAAATCAATTTAGATTAGAATAGCACCTGTTCAACTGTATTCTACTGTCTCTGGAAAAACTCGAAAGTTAAATTTGTTTTTTTCTGTAATTAAAAAATCGTAACTTTTATAATTTGCGTATTAATTTAAGAATTATGGTTTTGTGTGGGACCTACAGGGTGAAGTCATTAGTGAAAGTCAAATAATAAGCTTTTATTGATGCCCAACTTGGCCAACCACAAAGTCCAAGTTTCAAAGTCTAAATCCACTATAGTTTTATTCATTACTATAATTAAATTAGTAATCAACAAAATTTTGTTAAATATTTTATTTTATAACACGTTTTATTCTAGTTTAATATTGTGATGATATATCTTTGGAGTTTTGTTGTCATATAAAATAATTATTTTAATTAATTTAGTTATATGTGATTTATCACTTTATTTGAGCTGAGTTAAAATATTATACTGACATAAATAAATTTAATATTCATTTGTATATATATTAAGATCAAATAAATGAAAAGAACGTCACATGTACTAAAATCAAACCTTTAAGAAATAAATTATCCTTGATAAGTTTGTATATTTCTCTTCCTTCTTTAAAACACCTTTAAGTATTGTATATGCAATTGAGACCTTATGTAAAAGAATTTATGGAATAGGAGTAATGTTGAAAGGAAAATTTATTGGGTTAAATGGGAGAATGATAGTTTCAATGAGATTAATAGGGCTGAAGATGCAAAGAATAAGATGCTTTAATACTTCTGTATTAGAAAAATGATTGGGTAGAATACTAGTGGATAAAAGGGTCATGCTTTAAAATTTTAGGTGCTAAATATGGGATGTGGTATGACAAATTTTGAATGGGAAGAGGAAAGCATAAGAGTGGTGAAATTATTTGATTAGATAAAGGATGGTTTTAAATGCAATAACATCTAATTGCATAAGAGGAGGAGAAAACTATAAAAGCTATCTTTCATAACTGTTTTTTGGCTTTTAATTTATAGTTTTTTTAATTAGTTTTTATCTTTTTTTAAAAAGCTATTTGAAATAGTTTTTAACTTATAATTTTTATTTTAATTATATCTTTATTATTTTAAATATATACATATATATATATATATATATATATATATATATATATATATATATATATATATATATATATATATATATATATATATATATATATATATATATATATATATATATATATATATATATATATATATATATATATATATATATATATATATATATATATATATATATATATATATATATATATATATATATATATATATATATATATATATATAAACATTTTACTATTAAAAAATTAATTTTAAAAGATTGAACTTATAGAGATTTTAAAGAATAATATAACAGAGTTTTACTATTTTTCTCTACTTTATTAGACATATTATTTATCAAATATAAATTATATAACTAATTTAGAAAGGTGAAGAAAATTCAGAGTTTTATTGTAAAATATTAAAAAATAAACTTATTTTTGTTATTATTTTAGATTAATATAACTAAATTCAAAATTATAATATTATTATTTCACGTATTTTATTAAATTTCATTATAAATTTGGAAAAAAAGCTATATTTTATGAAAAAATGAGTTAATCAGACAAAAAAATATAGTTATTAGGATTACTTTTATTTTAATATTCTCATAAATGTCTTTATGAAATACCCCTGCTTCATGTATGGTCTGCTAGTTATTTTATTCATTGAATTTCGTTGTCAATATATTCATAATAAATAGAAAAACTCATAAAACTTATATACAAATTTGTGAGATATTGGATCGAACTCTAGTTTAGCATGACGTCGAAGTTTGCTCACATGTTGTCGAAGACCTACATGCTGTAGTCGAAATGTGTTCTAGTATGTAGTTGTCGAATTGGGCTTTGTGTTGAGAATCCAATTGTTTAAGTTAACTTGTACTCTAAGTTAGCTTGTAATGGGTAATTGTTAAAAACTTCATTAATTTAGTATCTTAGGATTTATTATAAATAACATACTAGTCTCTCATCTTAAGTGTGACAAATCCTAATTAGGGTGAGATGGTTATTTATTATTCTTGAATACTTGTAATCTAATTCAAAGAGAAAGTAAAGAATAACAGTTATAACCAATCCTTGTTGTTGTTCTTCTTCTTATTTTTCTTATTAACCCTAACCCTTGTGTGTTTTTTGATCATAAAAAAACCGTTTATACTTTGTTTCAAGGTATCGTTTTTCATAACAAATTGGTGCGGTGAGTGTGGAGGAGATGCCTTCAACAAAGTATGAGATTGAAAAGTTCATTGGAGTGAACGACTTCAGTTTGTGGCGCTTGAAGATGAAAGTCACTGGTTCAACAGGTTTGTTTGAAAGCATTGAAGAGAGAAACAACCATGGACGTTGCATTAATGGAAAAAGAAAAGACAACCATGATAGAGAAAGCCCACAATACAATATTATTGAGTCTTGGTGATAAGGTTCTCCGATAGGTATCAAAAGAGACTACGACATCAGGGTTATGATTGAAACTTGAAAGTTTGTACATGACCAAATATCTGGTGAATCAACTTTACCTGAAGCAAGCTTTGTATTCATTCAAAATAAGTGAAGACAAAGTGTTGGTTGAGCAGTTAGATATGTTCAACAAGCTAATTCTTGATCTTGAAAATATTGATGTGAAGATCGATGATAAAGATTAAGCACTGTTGTTGTTATGCGTTTTGCCTAGAACACATGCTCACTTTAAAGAAACTCTCCTGTATGGAAGGGAGTCCCTGAGCTTTGAAGAAGTTCAATCAACCTTGTATTCTAAGGACTTGAACACAAGAAAAAAGCATAAAATTTCGACTGTTGGCGAAGGTTTGGCTGTTAGGGGAAAATTCTTGGGAAAGGATGGTAAGTTCGACAAGAAGAAAGGAAAAAGTCAGCAGAAGTCTTATAATGGCGAGGCATCTGGTATTCAATGTTATCACTATAAGAAGGAGGGTCACACAAGAAAGGTGTGCTTTGAGCGCCCAAAATATCACATAGTTAAGGATAATGGAAATGCAACCATTGTTCAAGATGACTTCGATTCATATAATGTCCTTGTGGTTTCAAGCAACGACTCAAGAAAGAGTGGATTATGGATTCAGGTTTCACTTGGCACATGACTCCAAACAGAGAATTGTTCGAGGATCTATATGATCAAGATGGTGGATTAATGCTGCTAGGAAACAACAAAGCTTGCAAAATTGCAGGTATTGGATCTGTTAGATTCAAACTCCATGATGAGTCAATAAGGCTATCGACTGAAGTCAGGTATGTACCTGATTTGAAGAGAAATTTGATTTCTCTTGTTGAATTCGATAAGAAGGAATATGTTTTTCAAGGAGAGAAGAGTATCCTAAGAGTTATGAAGGGGTCGAAGGAAGTCTTGAGAGGCGTGAGGAAACAAGGCTTGTATACCCTTGAGGCTGAAGTTGTAAGTGGTTCGACAAATGTTTGTCGAATACAAAAATTTGACACATGAGATTGGACCATGTCAGTGAAAGGGATCTGGTCGAATTATAGAAACAAAACCTGCTTGGTGGAGACAAAGTCGAAAAGCTGAAATTTTGTGAACCCAGTGTACTTGGAAAAACTTGCAGAGTGAAGTTCAACAAAGGCAAACAAAGAACAAATAGATCCCTTGATTACATCCATGCTGATCTTTGGGGGCCTGCAAGGTGTCCATCACATTCAGGAGCAAGGTATTTCTTATCCATAGTTGATGATTATTTCAGAAAGTTATGGGTATTCATCCAGAAGACTAAGGATGAAACTTTTGAGAGTTTCAAAGGTTGGAAGAATCTAGTTGAAAATTAGACTGGTAGAAAGGTCAAGAGGTTGAGAACCGACAATGACCTTGAATTTTGCCATGAGACGTTCGATAAATTTTATGTTGTCTTAGGTATTTCAAGACACAAAATCACTATAGGTACTCCATAACAAAATGGTTTGGCAGAAAGATTTAATCGAACTATTTTGGAAAGAGTTAGATGCATGTTGACTAGTCCTGGGTTAAAGAATGTGTTTTAGGCTGAGACTGTTTTGACAACAACGTATCTGATAAACATATGTCCTTTGACTGCATTAGATATGAAAAGACCTGAAGAAGTTTGGTCGGGACATCCATCAGATCTCGACAAATTGAGAGTATTTGGCTACATGGCCTACGCTCACATTAGGCAAGACAAGGCGAACCTAAAGCTCTAAAATGCATGTTTGTGGGATACCTTGAAGAAGTCAAAGCTTATAGGCTATAGTGCCTAGAGCCAGGTCTTAAGAGGGGTATCACCAGTCGATATGTAGTTTTCAATGAAGTTGAGATGACCTTCAAGAAAACTAATGATGCTGACGAAGAGATGGAACAAGGAGAGATTCCTATTGAGGTGGAA